CACATTTAATGACAATTTCATGAAAAAAAAACTAAAATCTACAGTCCCAAAATGTTTTGTAAATTAGGGAGTTTAAGGAATATTTTTCATGGATATTTTGTTAATACTATTTATCAGTTGGAATGGCATCAGTACAGTACTGCCATGGAATGAAGTAGTGAGAGTATACAATTAGCTGGTCAGATTTCACCACTATATAGATACACTAAGGGTATGGAGGGACACATTAATATAGTGAGAGTATACAATTAGTCGGTCAGATTTCACCACTATATAGATACACTAAGGGTATGGAGGGACACATTAATATAGTGAGAGTATACAATTAGCTGGTCAGATTTCACCACTATATAGATACACTAAGGGTATGGAGGGACACATTAATATAGTGAGAGTATACAATTAGCTGGTCAGATTTCACCACTATATAGATACACTAAGGGTATGGAGGGACACATTAATATAGTGAGAGTATACAATTAGCTGGTCAGATTTCACCACTATATAGATACACTAAGGGTATGGAGGGACACATTAATATAGTGAGAGTATACAATTAGCTGGTCAGATTTCACCACTATATAGATACACTAAGGGTATGGAGGGACACATTATTGTGATGAAACCTTGGGTCATCAAGGGGTGTTCTATAGAGGTTTTACAGTATAATGACATACAAAAGTCATTATCCAGAGATTTTATTTTAGAGTGACAAAGATGAATCATAATACACAGTGGTTATATAGAGGTATAGAATGACCAAGACGGGTCCTTTTAGAGGTTTTACTATTGACAGAGTGTCTCAAGGTTTGAGAATTTTTGGAAATTTATTTTTTTGTACTTGGTACTTTTCTCTCTTAAAAAATAATCATGGAGAAGTCATTGTTTGACAGTTCTGTTATATGATGGTCATTGATGAAGGTGAAATTTTACTCAAAGTCTTTATTTTATCATTGCATGTATTTATTTTTCATTTAAAGTTTTAAGAAACCTTGGCATAGTATATGATGAAAATAACGAGATAATTACATAAAACAATGCCAACATATTGCTACGAATTTTGATAAAAACAAAATACCTACGCAGTTTATTAGAATTAATATGTTTTTAGAAATGTAGCAAGTTTCAGAGAACCTTTGACTTCAATTTTTCATTTTTTTCCTTGTATTACATTCAAAATGGTGTACTGCTCCAAATAGTCTGTTTATCCTATATGTACTTGTAATGTTTGTTATAGCAAGTGCTGAATGTATTCATTATGTATCATTTTAAATAAGATGACATTCTTCACAAATAAAACTTTCTTATGATTTTGAGTTCTTTTTATTTATAAGCATGACTTCAGATCCGTGTCTAGATAGCCCGTCCTGCTTCCTTACATGGTGTTTACATGTCGTAGTTGATTGATATTCAAGGGCTTGTTCTAAATATCATGTTTTTCATGAACGATGTTGACAACAGACAAACTTACAACACCTTGTGTGATATGAAGTTGGAAATGTTTAATGCTTGTTAGTATACCATGTCCTTGATCTAGTTTAAGAATATGACATTACTTAATTGGATTGACCAAGGTGGGTATCATCCATGAAGCAGAAGGCGTTTACTCTTTCAGAACACCTGGTTTTTTTTCACATTGTAGTAGTATGTGTAAATCTTTCTTGTTTTCACCTTTTGCCCAAGTTTCATCAAATTTGATTTCAAGTCAAGATTCTGTTGATATTTTCATTTTATCAAAAATAATGATCTGCTTGTTGGTCATCCATGAACAAGAACAGCATCATATTGAAGTAGAGTCTCCTTGTAGTAGCTTGTGGCTGCCTCACTGAACAACATACAGGAGTTATGCCATATCCTACCCATAGCAACTGAGGTGAAGTGTTGTGCCTGAGGACAACCCCAACAAAACAGGGTCCTTTAAACTATACAGCAATGCTTAAGTTAACTATAAAGAATGTCGGTTTAGCTAAATGGTGTATGCTACCTTGCACATCATAAATGTAAATTAGATACTAGGATATCTTTCAAACATGTCATTAGGTTCATCTATGTCTATATTTCCAGTCTTGGATATCTCTGGGGTTACTTTGGTGTTAAGTGGAACTCTTGTTGTGGCATAAGATAGCATACACCCTTGACATGCTGCAGAACAGCAGAACAAGAAGACAAGAATTATGAATATCATTTATTTTTTTCAGTGTTACTGTATGCTGCACACACAAGCTGCTCCAATGAAGATGACATAAGAAACAATACGATAGATCTGGCTAACAATTACACACTCACATCATTCTACTATTGCACAATCAAACACTCTCCAATCTGTCTGAAATGGAGAACAACAGTTTCACTTGAGAGTTGTAGAGGATATATTATCTATAGAACAGAAGTAATTACGCAGGCCTGAAAAGACGCTGAATGTGTACGATAAGGAGTTGTTGTTATTTATTCAAAAAGATGGTGCTTTATGATAAATTAAAGATTACTGCACATTACTTATACTTCATAATTTTCGAGAAAATTTTTATTTCTACTTAAGAATTGTAATTTCACATTACACCAGAGTTACATAAATGTTTTGTAATTCAAGCTTAAATAAAGTGTGTTGCAAAATTAAGTCCATGGTGGTAAAAAAAAACCAAAATAGGTACACAATGTAAGTAATATACAGTATCTAAGTGCAGAATGAGACAAATGACAATGCCTTTTATGATATCAAATTAGTGATTACATTGGTACAATCAAATATAAAGAAAAAAATAGCAATACTGTGAACCATAAAGGATTGCTGTCCCTCTCATGATATATATGTGTCAATAAAAATACAATAAAATCATTATATAATCAACAAAAAATTCCCTCATTATGCAAAAATTGCCCTATCTTAAATACATCATAATCAGTCTCCCATTTTCCCTTTTTTCCCCCTACAAAATAATTAATTTGTTAATATCACTGACATCATCTGTCTGTATAAAAAAACCATTATAACACACGTAGGTGTACCTAAGTTTTGCTAGTGACATCAAGAAATTCCAAACTCCTAGTTGATGATAAATGGACACTATTGATTATACAATAGTAAAACTCTGGAAAGTTATTGTGTCCCTTTTAGATCTAGACAATTTTCCAAATTTTTGCAGAAGTATTTGTTTTATAATAGTACTTAATAAACTATAGTGGATTTCGTCATTAGTAAAATAGATCCCTTCATAAAACATTTATTACTAATAAACTTCATCTAGCTTGATCAACAGTTTTCTCGACAATGGACCCCCACTTTATATGAAATAGTTTGTTACTGATTGGAAATTCCATGTATTACAGACACAGAACCTGGAATTCATTGTTAAACTAGTTGTACTTCAGATTTGGTTTTTATTTGTAAATAGAACATCACTGAAACAATAGAAACAATATGCATGTGTATTTTTTCTGTCAAATTGACTGATAAATTAAACGGGAAAAAAATATGAAAGTTTGAGTTTTCAAATTCAAAGATTCTACAACATATACAGTTTCATGAAAGGACCAAAGAAAAAAATTGTAATGGTTCCATTTACAAACAATGTTGGAGTAAAATCGTCTCTCACAGGAATTAATACCGAAATAAAGAAAAAACGGCAGCAAACAATTAACAGACAATTGGAGAGTGTACAAAAATAACACAGGTCAACAAAACAACAAACATGAGCAAAAATTAACATGAGAAAGAAACCATCCTGAGGAAAGAACAAAACCTAATATCACCACTAAACACAGAGAGGAACAAAATATTAGAAAACATCTAAACCTCACATGGTGTCCGTTCTAAATTTCATTCTTTACTTGGGAGAGTTTGTTTTCATGGAATTGTGTATTGCAGCACATCCATAAACAGTTATAACATGCCTTGTTTAATGAAGGCATGCCACCATTAAAACTTAAAGGGCAGAAAACAAGCCTGTGATGTCTGGACAGTATCACAGTAAGCCTACCTAGTTATCATACAACATGCCATTGTCTAAAACTATCTGTACATAATCTTACAGACCACCAAGCCTCGCAACTGACAAACTTACTTCCCTCAGGTTGACTATCAAATATATTACTGTTTAAGTTATAATACTGACCTAAAACTACTTAATTCACATGTGCTTATTGTAGGCTGTAGCAATTAGAAAGAATCTTTATCACATTCAAATATCTATTGTGTTTTATGCTTTATAACAACTTCTGTTTTTATAAATTGCTTTTTCATGAAGAAATCTGTAAAAGTTGAGAACATCTAACTTACACAATATTTTGTACATGTCTATCCAACTTCAATGATTTTGTCTGAAAACATCATTAATTTCCTGGAATTATTCTGTCTTACAAAAACTTCTCATCCAACTGTTCAAAACTATTGCTAGATCATAAACAGAAATGTGTGTCCTTGGTATGTAATAATTCAAAACAAACAAAAGCAAAAGAGAAAAACTTCAGACAAGATTTTTGTATCCAATGAAAAGCAGATGTGTATCACTGTGAGAATTAATGCAACATGATGGTAAGTGATCCTTACTTGAAAGGGAAATTTCGTTAGTTGGGAAAAGCACAGTACAGAATCATAGCAACGAGGCTTGGGTCATTCTATTTTCTATCGAGATCACATATATTTTTGGCATCTAATTTACACAATTTTAATATCATTATGAATCTTTACTGGAGAAATATGATGTTAAAACCCTCTTTACAGCGGACGTTGTGGTAGAATCTTGTATACATCTTCTGGACAACCATCCAACAGAGTATCATTCCATAACCTGTTGTGAAATCTTAAATGAATACGGAAGTGGGTCAAGTACAAATTGTGCCGACACCACACATGTGATGAATATCATCAGCTACAGATAAAATATTACAAATGTAATTTATTGTTAAAGTAGGACTGTAAGATCTACAGCAGCATTGAGAAACAATATCATATAACACTTCTAAAAATGTAAGAATGAAGGAATGAAAGAATGAAAGAATGAAGGAATGAAGGAATGGAGAAATTTTACCACTTTCTTTTATATACCACTCTATTTACCCAAAATGTCATAAAACATAGACTTCTAAAAAAAACTCATCATACAAACCATGAAAAATTATATACAAAAAGCACAAATCTGTTGAATGGATACAAGGAAATAGAATCAGTAGGACAGAATAAGAATTAGGAAAGTTGATACAGAGCAGCAGATCCTTCATAGACTGTCAAAGTCAACAAAGAAACTCAACAAATTCCCATGAAATGAATTATGACAATGAAAACAGATAACTTTCATACAATGGGACTAGTAGTGCCTCGAGTATACAATGGTTACTAAAATTAAAGTTTCTCTTGTGAAGAAATAGTCATAACCATATTGCAACTGGTTTCAAGAAAATTTCATGGATCTATTTTGTGATCAAGTAAGAATACCTGAGCTGTAGAAAGAAGTGTTTGTTTGAGAAGAAAATAAATTGGCTTGATAAAAACTTGAGACTTTAAACATACATATACTGCAACATTAAAAAATTCTCATCCAGAGTTTACAGTGTCCATCAATAGTGAAAACAATTTCAAATTTAAATATGATGCTTTAAGAAAATAGGCAAAATATGAACTTTAATATAAAGGTGTTGATTGTCTTATATTTATGTAGTTACTGATCAAATAGATAAGTTCATGGTAGGTTGAAATTTCACTGGTGGTATGGGAGCAGATGGACATTTCAATATTCTGTAAATGGTATATAAAATGATACAAAGGTAACAACAGGTAGTATATCTACTTCACAGCATGGTGTTGGTTGACAGAGGCACCAGGGTTATCAACTTTTCTTGAGAATTTGTCAACTAAATTTGTCCATTAGTAAAACATTAGAAAAGGAAGAAATCATGTACGAGGTATTTTTCCTTAAAATGTAAAACTTTTCTATGAAATTTTTTGAAGATATTATTTTAACTTGGGACAGGTTATGCTAGTTTCAGTGACACGTGCACTAAAAAAAAAAGATCAATCATATGTCAAAATAAGACAAATTAACTTGAAATTTTCTTTCACCCTGACAAAGCTTTGGTAAAAAAAACCTCTCAGATCTATGGAAATATGGCAGACAATTTGAGAGCAAATGTAGTGTAACTGAGAGGCAGAAAATGTGAGAATTCAACCCAGGCTTATGGCTGTTGAAGCTGGTGACGGCTGGTGACGGCTGGGAACAGTTGGCCACTTAAAACAAAGCACAGTGACAACAGATGATAACACTTTGATAATAGGCAGGTTAGGTGTCAGAATTCCTCATTCATAATATATTAAATAAAATTTTACTGTACAATATTTTGCACCAATCTCATACTATACACCTAGTCACTGGTCAATATACAAGACTAGTCCCATACTTGTGCGACTGGTCCATATGTACACAATTTAAACAAGTCTTTCTGTAAGTATTCCCACGCTCCAATCATCACAGGCATGTCCATTCTTACATGATGCATAGAATCTAGAGTAGTCACAAAGCTAGACAGTAGAGCCCAGCACCATGACAGGTTCCCACTTCTCTGATACAATTTCTCCTCATTAGTTACTTCCTTGGCTTGTTTTTCCATCATAATCACGGTTCTCCATCACTCTCCAGAGGTATATCTATGTAGAATAACATACACAGCTGACAAACACACTGATGGCTGTAATATTATCATCTGCGGTTACAACATCATCCCTTCTTCCCTTTTAAGATCCTTAATTCAAAATCAAGGTACAAATGACCAGAAGAATTTTTCAACAGCCTCAGAAATATGTCTGAAAATTGCCACTTATTTTTTTTCCTTTGGAAAATCCTCTCTTTCATAAACAACGAAGGTAAACTCTTATGGTTTGCATCCATATTCACTATCAGTTTGTATACATTGATGATGTTACACTGATGACAATGGAGAGAGATGGCAATGCAGTGATGAGATGGTGGACAGGATGAACAATGGTCAGCACTATAAGAAACATGCAGGATAGATGACCGGAGACTGGACACCGGTCAGGGACCGGTCTACAGCATGCACAGGTGCGATGGTACACGATGAGTGTGGAGAGGATGGGACTGCATGCTCTGGTTAGTGGGCAGGGCCTTCCTGGCCGTCAGTCTTGTCTCAGGAATTTGCATCGGAGTCTACATAAAGATTTATAACAGACACAAATAGAAATCTTGATGACATATCAAAACTAATGTTAAACTACGACTGACAAAGTTCTTCCATTATCAACCGTTAGAGACAAAGTTCTGTGTAATGAAATGAATGTGAAAGTGAAGTTGATGTTTTGTCATGTAAATTTCTGTCTACAGTACTGTGACAATACTACTATATACTGATTCATAAACTCATCTAAGAGGAGGAGTTTGTAATTTTACTAAATCTGTAATAAATGTTTATGGACTTATGATTCTTTGAATAAATCCCTTTCCCTATCCCCAGTATTTTTTAACTAAGAATACTGATTTTAATAGTACATTTGTATAGCAATACTTCAACACCATCAATCGAAGAACATGTACTCTTAAACATTCTGACAACTTCAACAGAGACATTAACTATGGATACACTTAAAATTTCATAGTATTGCAATTGTCCAGCAGTCGTAAAGGAAGAAACTTAATCATTTTTTTTCCCTGCTTTGGATGCAACAAACAAAAAATATTTCACAACAAAAATGTTTACCTTGACCTATCTTATATCCCAGTTACTGTCACATGAATTCACTAATTCTGCAATAAAAATCATATTTTCTTTTTCTTCATTTTCTCTTCAAAAAAGCTTTTGCTAATTTTGCAGTTCCCCACTTTTATACCAAAATAAGTCTATGCAATTATATGGACATGCTATGCTCTGATTTGCTATGATTTGCAGCATACATTTTGTTGTTTGAAAATTTTCATTCTTAATTTAAAATGCCTCTCTATGTAATACAACTAAAGGCTAAAGAAAAAGTATCTTTTGTTATTCCATTATTGTTATTATTATTTTTTTTTTTTTAAATAAATCCACCAAAGATGAACTCTATGACTTAGCATTACTAATACTCAACATCAAACAACAAAATAATTTGGTCAAGGTTGGTTTATACCTTTATATAAAACTGGAATAACTTTCAATAGGGACAGCAAAGTACAGAATCTAAGAGTATATAATTGAACAGTAATGCAGAAAAAGGGAATGGTCCAGAAGCTTGACAAGGTCCTAGTAATGGAATGACTAAATGAACAAATGTATTGATGAAAATGATGAAGAAATAATGTTCATACCTTTTGTCTTGTTTGCAGAATTTATAATTTGTAGAAGACATCTCCCAAATTCTTCAATCACCATTCGTTCCTGAACAACTGGAGGCATCTTGAGCCGTTCCGCTTCCTCAGCCTGTGCCAGCAGACAAGCACATGTTGCCTCTGCTACCTCTGCTGTGATGAACGTGTATGGCAACCTGAAGAAAGTATTGTATCAGTCTTTGTCATCACTTTAATTCCATCAGAAAATTCTAAAATATACAGACAGGAATTGTGGGAGGCATTTTCTTTAGGAACAATCTGTTATTGTTAACCACCAAATTGATATTATTTGAACAACTTGGAATAAGCCTCCCGTCATTCCATTTTTTCCTTTATTTCTAAAATAGCCATATATTGTATTAAAACAGAGGAAATGCTAATACTAAGAGGTACTCAGTCGGATCCAGATTTTGAAAAAATTCAATGTCAATTTTTCAGAACATTGTGGCACAAGAATTTAAGCCACTTCTCAAATACGAAAATACCATAAAATGATTATTTTAAAGCAGAGTAAGCCTACCTTTCCCCAGTGGCCGAGGAAACTGGGGGTCGCGAAGGTATCCCAGAGATCTGTGATGATAATTTGGTTTTGGCTGCAGTCTGTTGCTGGACCCGTACCTCAGCTGCATCGGCCAAATGCATCAAGGTTTTCCTTTCTGGACTTTCTTCAAAGTTCTTACATCCCACACATTTACAATGATTTGAACACATAATTTTTGCCTGCAAGAGAAAGACAACTGTTCTGAAATGGTTTGTATGTATACTAAGTATAGACACCAACTGACTGCTGTGGTTGTCTTGAAGTCATCAAGGTATATGTTATTTTAAAGAATTCATTGCATTTAACTACACACCATATTGCTAGTAGTGCAGGTATGCTTCGATTTCCAGAATAACTGGGGTAATTTTTCTAAGTGAATATGTCTACAGTTTTCAATGACGAAAACACATGTTCTGACTTACATAACTTTTGACCTAAATACAATAATCACTATATAAAGTACTGAAAGTTCTTGTATAATTTGCCTTTTAAATGTTTCTGTCGGTTCAAATTAATCATCAGTATCAGACATTTACCAGAGAAGAATAGTCATAGTAAACAAAGTACATTTCACACATCTCTATACACAAAGAGCATTCAATAGGATGAAGATGTGGCTAGATGAATAAGATAACAAGGACAACCAAGTACAGTGCTCCAGATAACTTTTTGACATGTGGGGTTTTCACTCCTACCTTTATAAATTGAGGGGTTTTTTCACCCCTGCCTTCATCAAGTGTATGGGTTTTTCCATATTAGGGTAACACTGAATTTGTAAACATTTTTGACAGCGCCATATTTGCTATGCGACTGGTTTATAATCACGATCAAGAAAGCGCTTGTTACGAGTTTCGTTTACTTGATAAGTGTCTGTTTGACTTAGATTATTGAGTTTTCTAACTACGTAATATTGGAGCTGGACATTGACGCAGAGTCCGGATTTCGCACCGGTTAATGACGCAAATCTTATTTTTTTCCTAGCGTGAAATTAGAAATATTGTGCGTGAAAACGCATTCACGCAGGCTATCTGGAGCACTGCAAGTAAAAGACATTCTTGTGATCAAAGACCAAAGCAGCAAATGCAGTACAAAACATCAAGGTAATAGAGTTACCTCGTAGCATTCACAGTAGTTTTTAAGGCATCCAGAGCGTTTACAGTTACAGCCCTTGTTATGTCGACGGTCACCATTACCCTCACGACCTTTACCTGTAACAGATGTTCGTCATATCCAATCTTTATCATAAAATACACAAACCAGCAAGTCTTTATTCTTGATTCATCAATAACCTCAAATAATATAATTTTAAAACCAAATACAAGGTAATTATTGTCGGAAAAACCAAATATATTCAGGATTTTATTGTATAAGCTGTCCTTACTTTTTACAAAAAAATTTTTGGATGAAATATTATTCTCAGGAATGAAAATGTATTAAGATTTTCATGGTAAAATCCTTCCTTACCAATCTTTGGATGAAAAGCCATTGGATTTCTGTCCAGGCACGATTTAATAGCTTTGGATCGTTCTTCTTCGTGTTCCAGGTTATTAGCACAATTGTTACAGTTACAGTTATGACAAAATTCTCCATTAGCAAAGCAGTCACAGTACCTGTTAGTAAAAGGATGTAGAAACTGTGTTAATGCTTTCACAACATATCAAATACAAGTGTTGGGTCTTCAATAAGTTTGGAAAAAGAAAAGTGAAAGAGAACAAATGCATCAGTTATTGCACAAACAATTACATGTTCAGTTTTGACATATTCTCTTTGTTGAATATCAAATATAAAACATTTAATATCAAATATAAAACAATCAAAATTAAAAGTTCTACACTTCTCTATAGAAATTTATGTTATGAGGGCAAAATTGATAATGGTTTAATACACTATATATCATACACAAAATATCTAATGAAAGTCTCTCAATGTTTCCTCAGGTAAAGCATTGGTTAATGTGATATCCAAGTCATGTTGGAATTTATCGTTATTAAGAAGACATTTTTTTCTGAAAAAATAACTTGTTGAATGTCAATAATTGTGTGTGAATGCTGATTAATACTTACAGTTTTAAGCACTGTGATTTTGTACAGTTACATGGCTTTCTTGGGCGGGCACCGGTTGGCTCTATCACAGGACTATGTTAAGAATGAACAAAAATAGTTCTTAATTTCTTTTATCTAAATGCTGTTAAGACACAGAATTCAAACTAAAGACTTTACGTAAAACAGTTGTGCCCTAGCTCTGATTTTCCATGGATATGCTACTACATGTCAGTGATGTGAAAAAATATATATCAAAGTTACCTATGTCATGTAATAATGCATTTCTCTCAAGAAACTATCATTGTTTAATTCAAGAATTTTGAATAATCATATAAAGATCTGAATGACAGGTAGGTAATGTGTGTTGCACACATGCTAACCTCCTGATTTGTAACACTATCCCCCATTTTCATCAGAAATAATGCTGATGAGAAAGCTATAACACTTTATTCAATCATCATGAAACATTCAGTAAGTTAGTGCACTACATGTGGGCTGATCCGCTGATAGAACATCAGACATGTTGACATCAATAGGAGGCCTAGTCTTAGTGTTTGTTTACATCCGACTGACTAGGTGCTAGGTAAGAACGAGAGCACCTGGCATCAGTATGACTGTGAGAAAATAACGAAGGTATTCCTAATGCTATATTTGACGTCATGGGAGTTCCGGGGTAATCAAAAGTTAGAGAGCAGACTGAAAAATTTTGTTTTCAAAGTACCATAAACATGTTTCTTTGTTCTAAATTTTCTTTACATTTTTATTGAAATTTAAGTTATAACATTAAAATCATTGGAAAAAAGTACTCGTCCGATGGACGACTGACAAAGATAAATCTGGTTGTCCGAGACAATTTTCTCTCGTCCATGACGACCGGACGAGTGCTTTTCCGAACCCCTGATATGGTAAACATTATAGAAAATTATTTGCGTTAAGAAGTTTTGTCTAAATCAGTTACAGGGTTGAGTCAGATCGTTAAACCAGTTGACTGTAAATTCAACCTAATATGGATACAATAAATACAGTATGGAATGATGTAAGAAAATGTCCTGGAATCTGACTGGCCATTTTAATGAACACTTTACATGCATAATGGCCTGTCCTGCTTTGTTAATAGGGTCACTTGCTAAATGCAAAATAAATTAAATTAGATGTCACTTCCCCACACTCCCTCCTACAAGATACGAAATTTTTAACTTAATTTTGATTAATAATAAATAAATAATAGTTTGCTGTTATGTCTAAATACCAATACATTGTAAAACACAAAATGAGAATTTTGTCAATTCTTCAGTTCTCAAACATAAAATGATAACTGGATAACATCAATATAATTATGAAACATTGGCAGCAGAAATCCCATAAACCACGAAGATGTTGTATACCTGAGGCCATTGACTGAGTTTCTGGCCATGGCGTTAGCACTAATAGAAGGGTCATTACTAGCAATAGCTACGTAGTCCTGCCTGTTCTGCTGAACTTGAACTTGTGGTTCTGGAGGGGCCACTTGAGCTACTGGTTTAGGAGCAGTATGCTGCATCTGAAACCCAAGATTTTTAATTACAATTGAATCAAAGCATTTCAACAACTTAAAGGCAATACTGTATTTCACAGCAAATAAGCCCCCTCCCGCAAACAAGCCCCCCACCACTTTTTTGAAAAAAAAAAAAAAAAAAACACATGCTATGATAAAGCAGTACTATTTGGGGCTTGTTTTTTTAGTGTTCAGAGGTGTCCACTTATTTTTGATTTCAACTGGTGATAATTAGCTAACGATCACAGCGACTGAGCGAGAGGGCCATGCTCAAAACATGCTAAAACAACAGTGTCGCTTTGATGTGTTGAGAAGACTCTGACACGATGAGTCCCAAGCCATATCAATGTCGTTAAGAGAGTCCCAAGCCACACACCAATGTCGTTAAAAAGAGAAAAAACATAAAAATCCCCCCCCCCCCATTTTTTTTTTTTTTTTTTACCATACCCACAACACCACATACATACACAAAAACATCTCCTACATAAATACAACATACACTGCTACAAAATCTCTTCCAACCTTCCACCTTTTAATATACAAATCCCTGGCCTTATACACAGTAATCTACAGTCTCCCGAGAAGTTGTATAATAATTCACATTTATTCTCACTAATCCCAAAAATCTACGCTAACCCAATTCCAGCACATTCTTTACATCACCCCATCACATCCACTCTCATAACTGAACTTAATAACACAGTTCCCCACTTTTAAAATCCACTCTAGACCAGCATGACTAACCTTGTCAAATGGTGGCTAGTAATCCCATCTACAAATAACAAACCTACACCAGCTAACAAGCTAAACCTATTTTCCAATTTCCGACTTTCCCATACACTCTCTCCAGCTATCTTCTAAAACTTCTTGTCCTTCGGAAACGTTAAACTCCGTCGACAGGGAACTTGTAGGTTTATATTAGGGAAATATAAAGTGAGACTAGCGTAGGACTAGGGTTTCTGTGACAGTCCAAAATTTCCCCAGGTTTTTTGACAGAGACTTTGACCTGTTTGGTGATTAACTCACACCCTTGGCCATGGAATAACCGGAACACAAATCATCATGCCTGCTACACGAAGGCCTTACACAGTTAAGGAGAAGTTGGACATTGTCAACTGGTTCCTGGACAATGGCTGAAATCAGACTCCAAGGGAACTTGTCAACAGTGGGACAGAGACTTGGCATGGAAAAGGAACCAACCCAGCACCCAGGTCCATTAAGCTTGCCGACACCATATTTGACTGGTTCATCGAGGAATGCGCATGTGAATAAGGTATGAGGACCTACAGTAGGAACTTGATGCGACATGGGCCCACAGCATCTTATTTGATTCAGACGAGTCCGATGAAAAATCCCACAATGACAATACAGCATTTGAATCCTACCTAATGCTTTGATGGCAATACACCAGTAAGTTTAAAATAAGGAAGTGCTGGAAGACTGTTTAGCACAGTTTTCACTAGTTACTGACAGTGTCTCAGTCACTGCCCTAATGAGTGAACTGTTTTATTTACCCTTGATATTTTGTTACTCTTTTTGCACCAGCAACAAAGGCTTACTGGGTGACCAAGATTATAAGCATGTTCCTGTGACCTAAAGTGCAACATATCTCTAGAATAGAAGTTCTTACACAGCCAGAAGAAGATTAGAGTGTGATGTTACGATGACTACACAGTCACCTTCATTAGATAAATGACCAGTGTGAAATGTAATAGCACCGCCATATGTAGTGTACAAGATGGTACAGAACCAATTTTTAGCAGTAATATAAACACTTCAGCATTCCACACAACAAAATCTTATTTTCGATTTGGAAAATAAAAAAAAAACTTTTTCAGGCAGTTGATTAAGAAAACCATCTGGACACGCTGCAGTGGGCCAGTACTTAATAGGGGAGAAGGGGTTCACAGACTCTTGCACATCTATGACCAAGTGTTAACAAAGCGTATCCGAACTGACTACAATGCATTGTTAACCATCTGGTGACTTTTTTTGTCTATAATCTGTTTACCATCTCGTCACACTATTTTCGACCTTAGTGTACATTGGATTATAAATAAAGCTGAAAAAATTGGTTGATTCCATACCATCTTGTACACTACGTATGCCAGTGCTAGGATACTCCACACTGGTCATTTAACTGATGAAGGTGACCATATAGTCATCAAAACGTCCCATTCTTATCTTCTACTGGTTTTGTTATAAAAACTTCTATTCTATTGACATTATCAACCTAAAGAAAATTTTCCAAAATATCAAGTTACTGCATTAAGAATTCAGGAAACTTTCATATGTCAAGTAACTTGTCAATTTCAAAGTTTTGGCTTGACTCTTTTGCCACGTTAATGAAAATACAGCAAAGTCTGATAAAAAAAAATCATAACAAACATTAAAGGCAAATATTTATTATCATGTCTGATCACCCATATCTGTAAACTGACCTGTGTGAGTAATGAAGCTGGTACCAGTGCAAACCCTTGTAGACCCTGACCGCTGTTTCCAGCAGACAAGATGGTGGCACCAGGGGGCAGCTGTCCGAGGGGCCTGGAGGAGGTTGCCGGGCGGATCTGCTGGAGTGTGGTGGCTGTTGTAGTTGTGCCAACAGTATGTACTTGATTCGGCTGAGCAGGCAACAGAATGCGATGTACACCAGCTGTAGTCGCCTGGGATACACCTGTCTTCTGATAAATAAATTGTACCGAAAATTAGAATAGAGATTGAAACCAAATGACACAGAACAAATCAATTTCAGAGACATTTAGGCCAAAAACATCCTTAATTGATTATATCACTTAATATTACATTTTACTGCTATTAAGTCTGTATTGACCTGTGATCTTGCTAAATTTAGTCAAGGTCAGAGAGCAAATAGTCAGGACAAAGGAACCAGTGGTGTATCATGACCCACTCATTTCACTTACCATTGGCCATAGAACATTGCAGCACAACTTACTGTAACAAATCACAGTAACTGGCTATCATCAGAAAAGTGAGATATATTGACAACAGATCAGAAAAGGTCACTAAGCTTCACATAAGTGACCTCTAAAGTACCATACATAATGTCAGTATGACAATTACTACAGATCTACTTACCTGCACTGGAAGAGTGATTTTCATTTGCTGTCCGGGCTGTGCTAAGGAAACTCCCCCAGAGTTGGAAACTGGTATCCCATGAACTACAGATGTTAACTGTGCAGCGGGTACCTTCCCAGCTAAAACAATGTACATGTAACATCTACATAATCACTTCATATTCAAAAGACATTCCAAACAAGGACACAATCCTGTATTTTTGTGTGATAGGAAACAAGTTACCACCAAAATTTTAATCAATTAGATCAGTGTATTTCCTGCCAGTGCTTGCATTGCAAATGGGATTGCACTTACATCTCCACAATGACTAATGTACCTATTCTCTATTCCCAACAATCGGTTTTAAAGAAACAATATATATTTATTAATTGTAACACATTGTCAATAAAAGGCAAACCTTGGGACGAAGGAGCGACCAAGCGGAGATATTGGAACTTGCTGCCCTGGACCGAATGGACACCGGACATAGGAATGGCCATCTGTTTTACACCTCCTTGTGTAATTATTTGAGGATTAGAGCCAAGTAATGTCTGGCCAGACGCAGAGTGAAGCTGAAAACACAGAGTTATTTCAAAAATTAGATACTGCAGGGTACCTCATTATATTTTTTCAGAAAACCATATTTCTGTATCTAAGATCTATTCTTTATATTCAAACAGATTGAAATTTTAAATCCTAGTTTTTTTCATTTTTTCAACCCACCTATTGAATTTAAGAAGCCCCTAAGCCATAGCGATCACCTGAGTTAGAGGACTTGAACTACATTCTGTGTGTTATTTTGATGTAAAATGGACATGATATTAACTGACACCCCATGGCCATGCTAAGGATACTAACCAAATTTGAATCAAAAGAAATTAAGCTAAATAAACTGTCATTTTCCTATGGAAACTATAAAGTGTACCCTCTTATAATAATAATTCTAAGCAAGTTTGAATTATTTTCAATGGAAATTAATCATAATATGCTCAAAAACAAAACTACCAGGTAGCACCAAGTTAAATTTACCAAAGGATCATGAAATTCACAATTTGGGTAAAGCCTGTAAGACCCTTCCATCCATGAAAGAGCATTTGATTCTATCATGTTACTGATAACAGAAGATTTGCAAATCTGAAAAAAGATACAATTTTGCATTGGGAATGGGGCAGAATATCGGCCCCACATCGGGCAGATCGAGAGCCCTGTATGGTGACTTAAAAACTCAGCAGCACCAAAACTGGGTTTAAATTGAACTCACCAGCAACATATGAAATAATTTTCTTTGGAAGGTAAATAAACAATTTGATGTAAATACTTGTGATTTAACTATAAATGATATGATATTGGAACACACACAAAAGTTAAACATATCAATGGTTAAAATAATGTAAAACATACAAAAACTATATTAAAATATATTGAAAAGAATTGGTTCCAGTTGCATAATTAAGTTAATAATTATTATAATCAACCAATAATATACTATAATGGGATTCATGTGTCATTTGCAAGACAGTTTGAATTACCTTTTCTTATATTATGTAAATTTTGGAATGTTTTTTTTGAAATTGTGACTCTCTTACTATTGGTGTATACCACTGACCAAGTACCATCGATATCAGCCTTTCAAAGGCTGCTTGTTGTAAATTACTACATCTAGATGAACAAAAAGTTGAGGAAATGTACTTATTCTATGCATTTCTGAGATATTTGAGTCATACCAGAACTCCTATCAATAAAATTGTATAATAATAAATAAATTGGTTTCCTTTCCTTATCAATTAACTTTCTATTTTCTATTAACAGTCCATCAGCACATGTATATATATATTACTTATGAAATATACACATACCACAGTCCCCTGTTTTATCACTTTTGATGGTGACATTGTTATCATATTCACAGGTCTAGAAACTGTCACAGTATTTCCAGTTGTACTGGAGATAGTCACTGGTGTGAACGACACAGTATCTGATGTATTCTTCGCTAACATAGATATTGCAGCTGGTGCTATCCGCTGTGGGGACTTTCCCACTGACACAGGAATCATTGTTATTTTTGTAGGAGTCTTTGTTGGTGACATTGGAAGCTGTCGCACTGGTATTCCTACCTTACCAGGAGAAGACATAGTAGCAACTTTCACTGAAGAACCAGACACAATGCCTTGTGGTGATATTGTTATGGTCTTTGTGGGCGTCTGTGAGCCCTGTGGTATGATATTGATGCCCTGAGCCACGGAGGACAGAGACATGGTCTGACCTATGACCTGGTTCAGTTGAATGGGCATAGCTTGAGGCTGACTAGTATTTGGGTTCTTTGTAATTATCACTTTAGTCACTACAGGACTACTGCCAGATCCTGATGAAGGTCTCTTTATTGTTGTAATGGCTTTAGTTGCAGAAGGTTGTGACACAACAATTACTTCTGGAGTAGTTTTTGCAGCCGGTGGCTGAGATACGTAGATAATTTCAGGTTGTTGTGCATTGCTGGACGTAGAATCATTCTGTGACAATGCAATCGAGCCAGAAGTCTGATCTACAGACTGACCTTCCACTAGCACCGTTTCCACTCCCCCTATCTCAGGTGTGGACGAGATTACAAATGTATCCAGCGGGGTATCCAGATTTCCGATGGGCTCGTAATCCACTGCTGTTGGGATGTCAACGTACTTTGATGATGATGCAGTACTTTGTAAACTGTTTATAGTCTCAGTATTTATTCCATCACTTGCAACTGTTACAACTGTGAAAGCTTCATTATTTCCTATGCCTGAAACATATAACTTTGTTTTAGGTTGCATACTAATATTTTACAAACATACATTACTTTATGGCCAACAGAGATATAACTCAAATCGATGTTTAAGATAATACTTCCTCAAACGCTTTCTTTATCTAAAATAATTTATGACTTCTGAAAAGAATCACTCATGAACAGTTAGTGTTTTCCTATTGAATATGTTTGATAATCATATTATGCTGCAAATAATGACAAGATTTTAACAGTGTGAGACACTTGTCTTCAGGTTGGAAAGCAAATGACAAAATCTGAAATAATTCAATGGATAAAATGACAATACCTCAATGAACTTACCATGCCATTATTTTGTTTATCTATTGAAAAATATCAAAAGGTGAATTTGAAAGTACATTTATAAACAGCAGCTTGCATGTATATTAAAAATCACAAAACCACTTTCCTAAACTCTAATAAATTACATCAACAAACATATATCATTAACAATGCTTACACCTTGCAAATAAATGGGGCTCACAATAATGGTCCTGGAAATTAAGTTTTAATCAATATAAAAAATTTTAACATGAGACTTCTTTGACAGAAAATTGGAACTTTTGTTCTTGTATTATCGCACAATATTATGATAAGAAAATGTTTCTTTATAAGTAGAAAAAAATGTAAAATTTATGTAAAACATGCATGTTGCCTGTGGATCCTTCAACTGCACCCGCTGTGTATTTATCGTCACTTCCGGGAACAAATGTGGCTTAACTCACAGCTGATAAGACCATGCACAAGAAGCGGTAGAAGCAATACCAATTTTCTTATATCGTATTGGTAAGAATGCACACTTGGTATATTTATTTCACATGTGCATTCTTGCAATCGACCACAATAAGTAAATAACAATCAAATGGCGCGCCATTATGCCGACAGGAATGCAGGGAAATTTAAACTGCGAAACATGTTATGGAAATCGAAAAAACATTAATCTGATCATTTAAATAAAGCTGTGGCATAACCACACCAGTTTGTTCACGTTTACAACACTGACAATAGTTTAGCAATGTCACGTGCACTCTATTTATGCACGTAAATAAAAATAATCGTAACTTTCTGAAGCGAAGCGGCGAATTCTGCGAAGGGTCGTCCCATTATCTTGCCAATATGCAAGCAAATATTCGATACATTATATAAAGAAAGAAGCGATTTACTTCATGAGATGTCGTTCTACAACTATACCTGTGACATTTCAAAGTTGTATTTGTCGATCGAATACTACAGACCTGTTCTCTGGGCAGGCATTCTGTGTTTGTTCAAAATCACGCGCCCACCATTACCATCCCATAATACTCAGGACCGTATTCCGCGGAGGAAAATGCAGAAACTTAACGTTGAATTTTGATTGGTATCGACAATGTAAATATTTAAAGAAAAAAATAAAAAACTAACTGAGACATAAAAAATCTTAATCTTTTCAGTTGTTAAGTATACATTAAACGGAACTGTTAGTAATATGAGTTATTTTAAGAAATAATTATATTTAACCCAACGAAATAAGAGGAATACACTTGCTGCAAAATGGCGACTTCCATTCGTCAACAACTTTCGCAGCTCGCTAGCCTTTCACATTCAGGGGGATCTCACAAAGAAGTCACAGAAAAGTATGGTCCATGGTGTTACTTAGTGCATTTAGTCTTTAACACTGAGTAGATCGTGTACACATAGGCATTAGTTCAATAATATTTATCTTTCCTTTTGTTCCCCGATATGTCATGATCGCTCCACAGTACAGTATCGTCTGGACATCGGTTCCGGACCGTTATGTATTTCGGAACGGCCGTTTTGGCAAGGGCGTATCGCTATTGACCTGCGTGACCTCGCACCCGGATATTCTTTTGTTGCTGTAACATGTGACGCTTCCAAAAAGAATAAAAGATAGTTATTGAATCCATTCACCATAAAATATTCTTGAGTAAATATTTCATTAGCAAATTTGTATATTTTTTAATACGCTTTTTCCCATCCTCCCAGATATGATGAAACAACCAATCAATCCATCCTTGGATGTCACTGTTTTGTTGTCGTCTGTCAAGTGAATGAAAATCGATCATGAATAATAACACCTTCTTGCAATTTTGTTGACTACATTAGTCCAAACATGCACATCTTATATTCGAAAAGTTGTGATTTTTTTAAATACTCACTTTTGATGACTCATTTCTGATTTCAGTGAACTTGTAAATTATAGACTAACCAATGAAAAATTAATTTGATCTAAATAGTTATGTTATACCAAATTATGTTGTTATGTTTATGTGAACACCCAAAAGAAGAAGAATCGTCATTATAGAAGTCAGGATACCACAAAAACATTCTTGGTTGAAAGTATGAAGAAAATAAATTATGGTTAACTGGTTAGTGTTAAAAGAAATGCTGCAGTGGGTGATGAATTGTGCAAAATGTGTGCTTGTGTATATATTGTGTCATCATGATATTGAATTTCATTTAGTAATGTTTAAATGTAAGTCAAACAAATTCAGGAAAGCTAAATGCTCTCATAGTATTTCAATTAACATTAGCTACAGGTAAAGTGCAGAGCATGTACTTTCCATGTCTTTCACTTCTGGATGCTCTTGGGCCTCTTGTCCTGGATGTGAATGAAGTGTGGACTACACATGTTACGGGTATAGAGCTTCCCTCGCACACCTTTGGTGCCTGAAGAGCTCTGATCTTACATATCTTTTATGACTGTAGATGAAGCAAAATTAGGTCCTGTGTGTCAGATGTGTTCATGCATGCATCAGTTTGGGGAAACCACAAATTTGCATATAATGCACGACTTGCCTCTTATATGCCAATAGCTATGTGGATTTGAAACTAGAATTAGCCAGATTCATTTAAATTGTAAATTTACTGTAAAAGTTGCATTAATTAATAACTATTTTAAAATTTTTTTTTACAAAAAAAGATGTCTATTGAAGTGTCAGCTGCACGGAAACTTGATGTAGATGTCACTGCTGTAGATACTGTATGTATTTTTGATATTTTCCTTCTTGCAAATAAAATTGATTTTTGCATTTGTGTGATGTTTCGTGACTATAAATAAATGTGCCTTGAACAAAAAATTTGAAAAAGCTAAATTCAAAGTGATTTCAGCTATTTTTGGTATCAAATCCATCCTTTGCTTGTGTTTAATAAGCACGTTTGTGGTTTTACCTGACCTGTCCATCTGTCCCATCCCATCTGGGGAGCCATGTAGTATAAATAGGATGTTGAGATTTACTGAAATATTGGCCACACCTTAAGATAACATTCAATTATAAGCCTGCCTGATCCTTTGGAAGGTGCTACAATTTATTAGTCACAGCTTCATACAGCAGCCTTGTGTGAAATGTGAATCTTGAGCTTGACCACTTTAATTCAGTCAAGAATGGTGTTGTGTGTTCCTGGGTACCATCTATTATCATGAAATGATATTACTCATCCACATGGTTTTTAGCCTGCCATCATCACATGGTTGGCTATTCAAAGCATCCTTACATTCATAGTCTATGGTCTTTATGTTCGTCCGTCAGTAAACAATTTTTGTTAGCTTTATTTCTTGAGAAGTACGTGGAAGATCTTTTTCAAATTTCATATGTAGGTTCCCCTGGGTCCCTAGTTGTGCCCATTTGATTTTGGGACTGATCAGAAGAACAAAATGGCCGACAGGCAGCAATCTTGGATTTTGACTTTGAAAACTTGTGAATCAGTATTTCTTGAGAACTACCTGCTTGGGTCTTTCTCAAATGTCATATATAGGTTCCGTTGGTCCCTAATTGTGCCCATTTGATTTTGGGTCTCATCAGAAAACAAAGTGGCCAACAGGCAGCCATCTTGGATTTTGACTTTGAAAACTTGTTGGTCACTATTTCTTGAAAGCTACAGCTTAGATCTATCTCAATTTTCTTGAGTAGGTTTGATGTTGGGACTGGTCAGAAAAACAAAATCGCTTTTTCTTGAGACCTACTACATAGATCTTTCCAAAGTTCTTGTGTATGTTCCTCTTGGTCAGAAGTTGTGCCCATCTAATTTAACAGATTAACATTATTGTCGCTATTTCTGCAAAGGAATGTTCAAATTTCTTTTGATTAAGAGCAAAAGCAGAAAAAAGAAAATCCAGCTTTCAAAGAAGAAATAAAGATCCAATGATGTTGGGAGCCAGGACCTCTCTGGGATCTCTTGTTACGCTATTTAATGCTGCATATAATCAGTCTGAGGTGTAGTCTCTTATTGATTAGGCCCATAAAACCAGGGCTGGGACTTAGTCTTCCATTCCATCTGTCGGTCTCTGCATATGTGAAAATTTGTCAGTATTCTAGTGGCATCATGCCTGGAGGAATTTTCATCGAACCTTGCAAAAATTATAAAGCATCAAATTATCTCGGACAAGTTCAAATTTCAGGGCAGTTAGGACAACGTCACCATTACTTTTTTTAGAAAATCTTTATCAGCGCTCTAGCTGCTTCACTTTTTACAAGATTTTGATCACGTGCAAATTACCATAACATTTTTATACATTGGTGATGAAACTGTATTGTCACATTGTCATTCTTATTCATTGCATTGAACCATTTAAATTAGTTCCAAACTAATTGATTTTTTTTTTTCAAATTTACACCATTGTCCAAACAGTATCACCTATATAGATTGTTACTATGTAATAGCTTGAAGGGGCCAGTAGGTGATGTGTATTGCTTTAGCAATACTCAGTATGCTTGTAGGGGCTGCAGTGGTCAAGAAGTTGAGGCTTCTGGCAGCCTTTATCACTAGCATTCTACCTATGGGTGGCAGGTTCAAGACCTACCTGGGGCAGTTGCCAGGTACTGGCCGCAGGTTGGTGGTTTCTTCTCAGGGAACTCTGGTTTCCTCCACCACCTGGTATGTTCTTTAATGACTATCATGGCATTTACAGGACATAAAGCAATAATAAAGAAACAATATGCTTGTTTATTAAAACCCTTAGTAATACAAAGATCATGTATGGTACATTGCTGAATCTCTAATGTTTGACAGTATTACAAACTGTTATTGTTAAATAAATATACGATATTGCCATTTTAATAGATTTTTTCCTAATTGTTTTACAGGTACAGAGGGATACTGGAAACTATATTAAAAACAGGTGACAGTGACCTAGTTCCATGTCTTCAAGCTTTTGTGGAGGCTTGTAAGTGTATTGTAAACTACTTATTGTTACCAAAATAATTTGAGTAAGTGAACTCTATGTAAATTAAAGTAGATTTTGTTTCTTTGATATTGGGAACGAGAATAAAACAAAGTAAATATGATACTTCAGATGGGATTGGAAATAGGGGACCTAACATCATTAGTATACAAGGTGTCATTTAAGGATTTTGTTGGTCATTGATCTGTTCAATCTTTATTTGAAAACAAAAACAAATTGGCCATGAGAGGGAATTTTTGTTCTCATGGTATAGCCTTAATTTGCAAGAAGTTTTTGATGACTCAGGACCCCATGATCACAAATCAAATTTTGGCGTTTGATGCATTTAACAGAGACTGTAAAATCATGTTTTTTGGGGGCTCAGTTTTCATGGTTTTTTAAAAAAAAAATCACAATTTCCTAGATATTTGGTTTTGTCAATTATTACAACTCAATATAATTTGTGGAATAAGTAAGAGTAACCACATGAAATCAAATACACCCCCCCCCACCTCTCCTCTCCCTCCACACACACCCACACACAAAAATTTTTAAAGATTTTACAGTAGTTAACAACATTGGCGATATGATGCCTTGTCATGAGAAGTCTTATACCATGGTACCAGTAGCCTATTTCTATCAAATGTAAGGAATTCTCATTCAGATTATTGTATCTTACAAGCTGTATATGAACATGGTCTTAACTTTTATTACATTACAATATTTCAAATAAAATTAAACATTCACAGTGGTCAACGAAAATGTGAGTCTTGTGATATCACGTCAGTTGCTGTCAGACTTTTGCAGTCATCTGTCCAAGCTGAGTGACCCTCTTGCCAAGCAAGTGGCCCACTTCACTCTTGAGAAGGTCCACACACGAGTTATCTCATTTGAGGAGCAGGTAAGCACTTTGTAGTGTATAATCTATGATCACGATATTTTCCAACATTAAGCCTTACTTAGTGATAACCTATCTATTTTGCATTGCAGATCATTAGAAGTGGTCCCCAAGGAGTTTGACTTAGGTTGGATGTGGAGAGGGAAGGGAGGGGGTGTTAACATGAAAAATTTTAAATGCAGGTCATGATCTGGAAACAAAACTAAAATTTGCCAATAGCTTCATATAGTTCGCTGACTGCTCTTGACCTTTGGCATACCTTTGAAATACTTTCTGAGGTCACATTGGTGATCAGAGAATCATACTCAGTAATCTAACTATGAATATATATAGAAATGATAGCATTCACTATAAAGGATTTGCCACTATTCTATATGGTTCTTGTGTTGCCTGCAGAGCTGGCGGACACTTAGGGATCACTTTTTCCATAATCACGCATGGTCGGTAGCGTCCGTATGAAACTTTTGAATTATCAAAATGAAAGTTAGTATATGGCTTCTTATTGGAAGGGTACAGATTAAGATTGATTCCCAGCTCTCTGTGACTATGCTGATAGAGTTATGCCATTTTGAACTCCAATTCTTTGGGAATATTGTGTTCTGGAATTTTCTTGGTCATTCTTTGAGTTATCAAAACGCAATTTTGTATATGAGTTCTTGGTCAAAAGTTACGCACCGAGTTTGCTTCTTGGCAGTCTGTAACCCTTCTTGGCAGTGATATGTCCCTTTGAACTTGGAAAATTTCTCAGGAATATTGCTTTGCGCAGTTTTCCCCATATGCTTTGAGTTATAGAAATGCAATTTGGTATTACAACTTTATGGTTGAATGTTGCACAACCAGTTCGATTTCTGGGTGACCGTGACACTTTATGCAGGTGACACATACAGTTCCGAGGAAGTCTTGTCTTGTATATGACTATCTCTTTCTTGTTTACTGGGTATTTCAATACAGCATTGTGAAATATTTAGATTAGAAATGAAGACAAATTCAGAAGGATATATGTTGGAATGCGACCTCATATCTACATTAGCTTGGTTTAACTCCGTGGGATCAACTATTCATACATGGACACTTCCTCTGGAAATACCAAGAAAAGAAAGTAAAAAATCAGATCTGATATAACAAGTGTACATGGTTTGATTTTAATTGAATGATATCATCTGATTTACAAGAAGAGAAATGTTTTTCATAGTGTTGCCCTTGGCTATCACTCGGCTCATGTACTCTTTGATAGGTGGAGATCATGAACTGAAATTTGGTATACAGTTGTACATTTGTTAAAACAGGAGATACTGGTCATGTTCTTTGTCGGTCCTGACAACTCAGTGTTAGCTCACATGGCCCGAACTGCCAATTTAGCTTATGCAATGGCGCGGCATCCATCGTCTGTCTGTCCAGCATCAACCTTTTTCTTTAAATAACTGCTTCTCAATAACCAATGGACCAAATGTTTTGATATTGAGCTGGTATGTTCCTAGGATGAAGCTTGAAAAAGTTTGCAAAAAGAAATGGCCTTGACTCTTATTCAAGGTCACATCTATCAAATTCATTAAAACATTTAAATGACTTCTTCTCAGGAACTAAAAGCCTTAGAGGCATGATATTTGGCTGGTGTATTCCTAGGATGAAGCCTGACAAATATTTTGGAAAGAAATGACCTTGACCCATTTTCAAGATTTAAACAATTTCTTCTCATGAATGAAAAGGCCTTCATGAATGATGTTTGGCTGGTATGTTCTTAGGATAAAGCCCAACAATGTTTGCGAAAAGAAATGACCTTGACCTATTTTCAATGTCACAGGGGTCAAATTTGTTAAAACATTTAAATGACTTCTTCTCATGAATTAAAGGCCTAGAGGCATGATGTTTGGTTGGTATATATATACCAGGTTAGCCCTGCAGGCCCATTGGGCCTGTTGTTCCAAAGTTATGATCCTTGAACTTAAATGATTTCAAGAAATTATCATTTGCTGCTCATCTCTCAGAGCTGGATGAGGATACTGAACTGAATTATAAAAGAAATTTCTAAGAGATGCCGGTCAAGATATTTTGGTCAGGTCACCTTTTTTTCCCCAGCATTAGGGCCCTTGAAATCCAAGAATTTCTTTGTAAATAAAGTAACTTGAAACATTAAACTGTGTTTTAACAAGTTTTGTGTTATTCTGATTTGTATATATTTTCACGGCCTGATTACAGGTGGCAGCCATAAGACAACACCTAGCAGACATTTATGAAAGGGAATTATCCTGGCGAGATGCAGCGAACGTGTTGGTGGGGATTCCCTTGGAGACAGGACAGAAGTAAGCCAGGAATTTGATTGATAAAAATCAGCTTCACATACTTTATATGATTATATAGTTAATGTGTTCTTGTGATTTTCTGGTGTATCAAGAAATGAAATATTCTTGTTACACCTGCGTAATGCCAAGGTACTTGTATGACAGTTTTGATGTGGGAACTGGTGGCTGACTTTGCAATACTTCAATTTGTTAATTTACATAAAAGCATCAGTTTGCCACAATCCAATATGCTTGTTGAAGGTGCTTTCCTTGATGTGTTATATTCAGGCAATATGCCACAGACTACAAACTGGAAACATACCTAAAGATAGCTAGACTTTACCTTGAAGATGAAGACCCTGTACAGGCAGAGGCTTACATCAACAGAGCATCTCTGCTCCAGGCAGATACCCGCAACGAGGAGCTTCAGATACACTACAAGGTAGAATACAACTAGAAAAAGTTGCTGATCACTTTTCTGTAGAATGTTTGTGTTTCTGTAGTACACACAATCTAGGTTATAGTCTTCTTTATAGATTGAACTTCTGCTGGAGTTGTTTCTAATATTTCTGTAAAATAACATTTTTTTATCTATCCAAATCAAAAATTGTCTGTAAATTTCATGGATAACAAATGCTATCAAAATATTTTTCTTGCTATTTTTTCAAGTATTAAATAAAATTGTGAAAAACGCTATCTTGAAATTTTATAGATGCTTTTAATAAGAAAACATCCCTTTTACTTCAAGGTTTTGGTAGAATCATGAAGATTTTAATTTTAACCCTTGATAAAAATCTACCATAGTAAAGTATTTAAAAGTTGTTGTTAGTGTGAAAATCTTCAGGAGAATGATGGCATACGTCTGTAAGAGGAAGGTGCTCTACACTCTCTTTTTTGTTTGCTTAGTTCTGACATCATTAGTCTGAATCTTTGGCAAGTTATAATGGAGGATATGTTGTCAGTTTTTGCCCATTTAATGCATGCAGTTCATTAGTCAGAAAACAAGACCAACAACTTGCTGGACACCTATACAACCTCTTGGTTCTGTTTTCCAGGCTTGTTATGCCCGTGTGCTAGACTATCGCAGAAAGTTTATTGAAGCAGCTCAGAGATATAATGAGCTATCATTCCGTACCCTGATAGCTGAGGAAGAGAGACTCACCTCACTGAAAAATGCACTCATTTGTACCATCCTTGCATCTGCAGGTATTTAAATATTCATATATATTTGTCTCTGTTTGTCTATTGGGAGTGATGTTGACTGGTTAGAATATTTAGGGTTTATGTGTTTAGGCAGCTATTTTAAGTTTACAGTTCAATTATTGTACTCAAGTGAAGGAAACATTTGAAAATGGCACAAAAAGCCAGATACAGGATGATGATGATTTGAAATGGCTGAGACGTTTTAGAAGTAGAACAGTATAAGGAAAATTTGTTCACTCAATTATATCAGCAAAAGTTTATGTTCCTAACCAGTGATTCAGGATTGCTTCACGATCAAACTTTTTTCTTCATTTCAAAATATGCTATTAGACCAAAAAGATCACACAGAAATTGGGCAGCAGGCTGTGCTTATACAAGCCCTCTCTCTTCTGCCATCATTTTATCAATGATATGTTTCTGTATTTTACAGGACAACAAAGATCAAGAATGTTAGCTACATTATTTAAAGATGAACGATGCCAGCAGTTACCAGCATACCACATACTAGAAAAAATGTAAGCCAATATCTTACTGGTTTAATCACTAAGTTATAGAGAATATGACAGTCTTTTCTGTCAAATTTCAAACTAAAAGTTTGAACAATTGTTGATTGTTTTTCATGGAATAGCCTAGAGCTTATGTAGTACTTTACAAGGATATTTCCAAATTTTAGGTATCTGGACAGAATTATCAGAAGCAGTGATTTACAGGAATTTGCCTCTTACTTACAATCTCACCAGAAAGCTGTTACTGCTGATGGTAAGTATTTAAATACACCTAAGTGTTCATAAAATATCATCTAATTGTTCCCCGTCATTATGGTAGAGAACATGAGATTTCTGCACTCTGTAATCAGATCAGCAGTGTGTTACTATGTCAGGGTATGTCTCTCTGCCAGGTAAAATTGCTTAAATCTGTTGGCTAGTTGTGATGTCACCCACTTCCAGTTCTAAGTTGTGTGTCCTTTACAACAAATTCTGATGACATGTTATTTTGTTTCATCAAATCTTCTTTAGACAAAATTCATTTTTACAGTTTATAATGATAATAGTGACAATGCTGCATGTCATTGTGTGTAAAAAGTTGCGTTCTTAATTAATCTTCCATTCATTTTCACTTGCCTTAAGGTAACTGGATTGTTTAAATTGTAGAGTGTTATATACTGGTCTCTATCTAAGTGTCTAGTACCATCAATAATGTCTATCGACACATATCGAACATTCATCCTTGCGTCCATTTCTTGTGAACGCAACTCCTCCTAAACTAATCATCAGATTTTAATGATTTTACGGTACTTTGATCTTTGATAGATTTATGCCATTTTCAACTTTGTATCTGTAGCTTGCTCTTAGTGGATCTTCATAAAACTTGCTCAATGTCACTAATACAATGGTTCGATGTGCATGAAGGGGCGATTTTACGGTTCATTGATTTTTGTAAGATTTATGATACAGACATGTTAAAAGTGATAATTAAAAGGACCAATCTTGATCTTTGTATTTTGTGGCAGCATATATTGTGTCCACGGCACTCTTGTTCCTTATTAGACTGGATGAAGCAAGATTTATTCTAAAATCAGAACTGCTATAAACCAATTTACATAACCACACTCAGACTTAGCTCTGGATGTTGTAGAATTTGTACTGGAATGGGACTTGATGACCCACTATAACCAAGACCAAGTCTTTTGTCATTATACTAATACCAAGGATCTGATTGTTGAATGTCTCAGAATTGGTAATAGATTAGGGATAATGTCATATTAGGTGTATATTGTGATTTGTGTGGAGGTTTGGGGTATAGGAAAGACAATGGATTGCTAATGATACTTTTTGCCTTCTTTTCCACCAATACATATATGTTGAAATTTACATGTATTAAAAGTATTTTGTATTTTGAAGGATCAACAATTCTAGACCGAGCAGTTATTGAGCACAACTTACTATCAGCAAGTAAGCTGTACAACAATATCTCTTTTGACGAACTTGGATCACTCCTAGAAATACCATCAACCAAGGTAATTTGGACACGTAGAATAAAAATATTGTATGAAGGGATTGATTTTATTTCTATACCAAGTGAGGACTAATATTTGTCACCTATCACATTAAGCATTTTTATTGCCCTGAATGCTCTGTATTCTGTATATTTGAGAAGACGTGGGGAGGCAGGGAGGGGAAAGCAAATATTTGATGGTTGTCCCAGTTTGGACTGGTTCATAGGACTTAAGTTTGCATTTCTCTTTACCTAGGTATCCATGTGGACAAACTGATAAAATATATTTCCTTAACTTTTGATTGATGTTCAATGTTTGCTGCATATTTATCTTTGATGACCAAGAATATAGCAAAATTAGATTCCCTTTGAATATTACAAACTATACAGTGATGTAACTGAAAGTGTGACAGAAATGAAATTAGATTCCCTTTGAATATTACAAACTATACAGTGATATACCTGAAAGTGTGACAGAAATGAAATTAGATTCCCTTTGAATATTACAAACTATACAGTGATGTACCTGAAAGTGTGACTAAACAGAAATAAAATTAGATTCCCTTTGAATATTACAAACTATACAGTGATGTACCTGAAAGTGTGACAGAAATAAAATTAGATTCCCTTTGAATATTACAAACTATACAGTGATGTACCTGAAAGTGTGACAGAAATGAAATTAGATTCCCTTTGAATATTACAAACTATACAGTGATGTACCTGAAAGTGTGACAGAAATAAAATTAGATTCCCTTTGAATATTACAAACTATACAGTGATGTACCTGAAAGTGTGACGGAAATAAAATTAGATTCCCTTTGAATATTACAAACTATACAGTGATGTACCTGAAAGTGTGACAGAAATGAAATTAGATTCCCTTTGAATATTACAAACTATACAGTGATGTACCTGAAAGTGTGACTAAACAGAAATAAAATTAGATTCCCTTTGAATATTACAAACTATACAGTGATAAACCTGACAGTGTGACAGAAATAAGATTATATCCGATTTGATTATATCACATAGTTATACACCGCCGGAAGCGGTGGTATATTGGCGTCATCTTCTCCGTCTGTCCATCTGTACGTCCGTACGTCCATTTCTTGTGAAAGCAACTCCTCTTAAACTAATCAGATTTTCACGAAACTTGCTCAATGTCACTACTACAATGGGTAGATGTGCATGAAGGGTGATTTTTCAGTTCTTTGATTTTTGTAAGATTTATGCCATTTTCAACTTCGTATCTGTAGCTTGCTCTTAGTGGAGCTTTGTGAACACAACTACTCCTAAACTAATGATCAGATTTTCACTAAACTTGCTCAATGTCACTACTACAATGGTTGGATGTGCTGGAAGTGGCGATTTTACGGTTTTTCTTGATCTTTATGTTTTGTGGCGGCATATATTGTGTCCATGGCACTCTTGTAAACTAATGTGTTCTGCCATGTAAAATTTCCATTTCATAAATATTATATGATTCAAACAATAGATTTATTGACGTCAAAAGTAATTGATGTTGCACAAATGTCTTGGTATTGTTTGAGGTCAATTTTGTCGAATCACAAGTATCACTTTTTCTTAAGGAAAGTTAATTGATTTTTTTAAAGGCAGAAAAGATTGCTTCCCAGATGATAACAGAGGAGAGAATGAATGGCTGTATAGATCAGATTGACTCCATTGTACATTTTGAAGGTAGAACTAATATTACTACTTTGGCAAATATCTGTAAATTATGATAATGTAATTATCTCCCCTTGCTTGATGAGACTGAAGTTTCAAAATATTAGCAATAAATATAAGTATTGGAACTATTTGGTTTGTATGAAAATTGTTCTTCAACTATGCAATTGCAGAAATTGTTTTTTCAGGTCACTGATTTTTCTTTGTTCATACTGTTTAAAAAACTGCAGCAAAAAAGGTGAAAAGAGGAAAATGAATTAAACAAAATAAAATGAAGTCAAATATCTGAAATATACCGGTTCTCTTAATTATTATTTCAGACCGTGAAGCATTACCTACATGGGATAAGCAAATACAGAGTTTGTGTTTCCAAGTCAACCAGATCATCGAGAAAATTGACCAAACTGCACCAGACTGGATGGTCAAGTTCATGGAATCACAAATGGCACAGTAACTGCAGACTGACCAGATGACCAGAGTTAATCTAAATAAGTGAGGAATTGTGAGATGTTGACATATGATTCAACTGAAATGGATGCAAGATGATGCATGTTGCATGTTATGTGAAGTTTTCAAAATATTTTTGACAGTCTAGGTAAACCTATTAATTTATACTGACACATTGTGGGGAAATTGTAAGCTCAGTAGTGCTATTGTAAACTTTTGCCTGAACATGTGGGTGTCATCTGATGAAGAATGGACAAAGGACAAATAATGTTAGAGCCCATAGGAAAAAAGAAATTATACAGAATGCCTGAAACAGAGTTATAAGAATTGTTCCATATTGTGTACGTTTAGCTGTATATGAGTATTCATATTCTCTGCGTTAATCAATATGGTCTCTGCTTCAGTCAGTCAGGTTAACTCAACGTAGAGTTATCCCCCTTGTATTTCAAAGAGGAAAAAAGGACATTAGAGTTTGTTCAACTCTTTAATTTACATTACATGTATAATGCAATTAATTATTGAAAATAAAATATTGCAAATAATTGATAAGGTCAAATGTTTTTTTCATGTCTTAAAATTTTGAATGGTTATCATTCTACTTGATAATCAACCTATAAAGGTTACATTTCCTAGTCCATGTGATGATGATGATGATGATGATGACGATGATGATGATGATTCAGGAAACTTGAGAATAAAATAGTAATATATATGTATTAAGTCATGCTTTAAGCTATATAGCACAGACTAAAATAGATAATAAATAGACTGGCTAGAATGACATTTCACACTTAACCTGGAATCTCTTGCTTGTCTACCTGTATGTGTTATGGGTACTTAGAGTGTACTCCATGCCAAAATTTATCTGTAAAAACATTCTATGAAGAATTTGCCTACATATATATGAATATCAACTTGCCTGTAATCAATATATTTCTGGAAGTTTAATATTCATTCTGCCCGATTAAAACAAGTAAAAAAAAAAATCTCATATTCAAGTACCCATATCAAACAGGAGTGTAGCATTAAAATGTACTCGCTAATCAAGTATCAATTAAATGTACATGATTAAACAACAAAAAGCGTCCAGGCTAGATCAGAAGCTGTTTACTGTTAAAATGATTCAATAATTCTTAATCTGGATCCAAAATTTGCAAGAAAATTTCACCGAAACAGCTTCTGTAAATAATGAAGTCATAGTTTGGTTTTTGAAGGTTTTGTACTATACTTAATAACGGAATAATATCAAATAAAACTTAATGAAAATGCTGCTTAGAAGTAGGATTATTCAGCTAAAACTTCAGTTTATATGAATGACAAAGAAAATGAGTCCGATTAACTCCTCACTCTCTCATATGATATACTGCTGTACTGATGTTTGGTCTTGCAACATTATCTTAAAAGATTGTTTTAATCAATGATTCAAATTTTTTGTGGTTTATTATGAAAGTTCTGAAACAAACAAAACATATTTTTCACAGGTATTGTGAAACAATTTTTTCTTAAAATTATATTTTCGAAGTATGCATATTTTTAATTTCTTTTTTCTCTCAAAAAAAATCCCTCTAAAACAACATTTTGCAGTAAATGTGGAGATGGACTAGTGGGTTAGTCACGACAATGGCTTTGGAGGCCTATCAAGTTCCTATCACCCAACTAGATATGTCATTGTGTTGGTGCCTAGGAAACAGGATCAGGGGTGTAGAAATCAATAAGGCTCTTTATGGTGGCAGCAGTGATTGTAGACCGATTTATTGGTCTAGGTGTGGTCCTAATCGTGGCTGGATGGATGCTGGAGTCGTCGATCGGTACAGATTTGAAAAGGTAGATGTCTGTTGTGATACACTGGAACGTTATAACGGCTGCCACAATGAACAGATACCAGTATTTATCTGAACTCTGCAAAAATATGTAATCAAAGTTTATGGTGTTTTACATTCATAATAAAAGCAAGTTTATCATTTTATGTTATTGATTCTCAATATCAGCATAAACATAAGTTCATCTCAGTTCATTTTACAATGTGGACAGTAATCCAGATCAAACCTGGCTTGAATATCACAGATATATGACTTCTGTAGATGCCCATGGCTTACCATTCATTGTTTTTTTTTGTTGTTTTGGTTTTTTTTCCTAGCTGTGTGAATTATCCAAGTAACTTTAAGAAAGAAATACAATAGTGCTTTGGGAAAGCTAAAGTAAAAGTAGTAGTCACTAACTCCAGCCAAGTTTTCCAAAGGAGTTCATTGAATGATATCAACTGAGTAATATCTTGTTTTGTGATCAATAAGAAACTTACCAAGTCACCACCTCTGTACCACCAGTTCTACAATGAATAAAGAATGTTTTTATAAAGTGTGAGGTCGGGCTGTTTTAAATCAAATTACCATACGGCACAATGCAGAGAAAATGTTCATTTGTTATTTAGAATTGCGTGTTGCACCCGTTAGGATGATTGACAGATTTTGATTGTCTGCATTTCTCCTCCAGATTCCCAGTTCCACACCTTCAGCTCCTCATAATCTTACCAGAGCAGACCATGTATAACTTTATCTATGAGAGTCCAAAATTTATTTTCTAATGAGCATTTCACATTCTGACCTTGAGCCATCTTTTGAGATTGTGAGAAGGTAATTAGCTTGTGGGCTTTAGTCCTGAGGTTTAAGTCCTGAGGTTTGCTATGACACCACATCTGAATTCTTTACACATGATTATCTAAACTTTACCTGATTGTCTGAAATGTAGTGTTGAGAGTGTCTCTGCTATATTTTGATATTTGTAAAGGAAGATTTTGATATCCCTAACCTTCATTGATGTACTATTTGGAATCCTAGCTTCACCATAATATTTTATAACATGAATACTTTGTTATAAAGTGAATATACCCATGTCATTATTAAGCATATTTCATGTGTAATACAGATCGATGTGACTTCACTTAAGATAATGAAATTCACAGATGGCATTGTGACGTAACAATAGTTACCATAGAGATTGCGGGACATGAATAAGTTTGACAAAGATTTTCGGTTTTCTACATTTTTTGCCGGAAACCTCAATCGTGATAAAAAGAATCTTTACTTCGTTTCCATGTGATATGTGATTTAAGAAAACTCATCATGAATGCTTCATTCTGGCCCGCTAAATGCTCTTTAAATAGAAAAATTCTTAGACTGGTGTCATAAATATGATCCTATGTTCGAACTTGAATGGAGCTAGGGCAAAATCTGGAGACGGGTATTTGTTAGGTATTCTGATAAAGGTTTCTTAAAAGCAACTTTCATCTGATTGGGTCAATGATATGACCTTGTCCCCGATATAGAAATAGCAACATCTTACGTCTTCTAACACCTTGGGCACATAGAAATTGCTCATCGTTTGTCTTACGTGATATGGAAAAAGAATCATGAAAAAATCAGCATGTCAACATAATCACAATCCAAACTCCAATTCCATAAAACAAGGGCAAAATAGGAACAAAAGAAAGATTTACACGGAGACTACTGAAAAAAAGTATCAGGAGAATAAGACCAGGTGTTCCGGAAGAGTAAGCGTCTTCTGCTCATCGACGACACCCGCCATGTAAAACCAGGTATACAACAACGGAACCAACAGCAACCTAACGAGCATCAAATTTCTCAATTTGAACACTACGGCAACCATAAAACTTCCCCATAATTTTCATCAACCTGCATCTTTTGAAACCCTGTTACGAGTTTGTATGTCAGTTGCACGAAAATCATGATGATGGAAATAGACCCTTGAATATCGAATAAACTGTAACATGTAAACACCATATGTTAGGGATGCAGTGACTTTACCATCCAGAAATGGTGAATTCAAAATATTGAAATTGAAATCATCACGTTTATCATATAGTTTGGTGGAGAGCTGTACATGTTGGTTTCGTTGTATAAGAAAAGATCGAGATAAGCATCTGATATAGAAGTCTGCCGTGTCTTTGATTTCCAATTCGAATGGGTAGATACGATGGACGTGGTCAATAAATTTCTTATTATTAAAGACAAGACGTCATCATTTGTTTTTTATTTTGGAGACACTTTGGGAATGGATTGGGAAAAGGTAAGTGCTGGGTATATCGTGCTGTAAACTAAAGATGGTCTTCTTTATATATACCAATGCACATCGATCCAAAATCAGGATAGAAGGTAAGTTTCTGACTTTGACTCATTTCAAGAAAATATGTGACAGTTGCATTCGTGTTATAGTAATAAACTGGTACATTTTGTGACAACATCTTTCACTGTCGCATCCTTGATGATTGACAGTTTTGAGTTGTAAAACATTGATATTGTAAATTTTATGATTATCAGACATGTAATGCTTAAAACATTTATCTATTAAAGCCGTATAAAATATTTCAAAAATTAGGTAGTTACTCTCCAATTTCCAAATCTAGAAATTACTTACCACAACTATTCCAACGAGCGCACTTACTGAAATAGAAAATGATAATGTTTCCTGAACAAGTCTATTTACCATTCATATTTATAGTGAGAAAACAACATTTAAAACCTCACCCATAGGAACAAAGGTCTTTAATGAAACACGGTGAAAAATTATTTAACAACTGCTGTCTGCAGTCTATAAAGTTAATATGTATATATTAGATGGAACTTTTATACAATGCAACGTTGTATCTTTCGATTAAATGTTTAAGAAAAACAAAACAAAAAGAAAAACACGGAAATCAAGAAATGGACTATGGTTTTCTCTTTTAGTTCAATGACATTAAATTCATTATCCATTATCGAAAAAAGTGAAAAATCCAACCTATTGAAAATAACTATCTTTCCCGGAATCATTTAATTACTTAAACATGACGTAGTTTTTATTTTAGGCCGCCTAATGCAGTTGCGCTATTATTTCTGAAGTCATCAGTCTGTGCTATGTTACTGCTGTATATAGCATACATAATTCTAAATTTATAGTATCTTCGTTGCTTCTTTTTCTACACTGAACTAAATGTTGTTTACATTTATAGAGCTTTGTATGTACCGATACTTACTAACAGTATTACAGGCCAGTAGGTAGAAAGTCTGGTTTCGATGACCCTCGACCAAACACATAGTAAACGATAACTACAAGGGAAACACAGATAACACATAACATAGCTACTGACAAAATTATGAATATATTGTGTAATTATCACTATATACATGACGTAGTTCAATCCAATAACATATGTACACGTAATGGACTCAGTGTAGCGCATCAAACGTATTACAGGAAACACAATGGAAGTAAAACGAGAGGGAAATATACCAAAACCTTTGTCACCGTTACATATGTTCAAATTTACCCGATACAGTATTTTTTATCAAAGTTCAACGGAAAGGTCATAAGGTCATATAAAACGAAAGTCAGATTACAAAATATCTGAAACACTATCTTATTTATTTTACCCTTTTACAAAACTGATATCACTGCAAGTGTTAAAGTATCACAAGTACTTCACCATCATTCCAAGATCCCCGTTTGACTTATGGAAACGAAATGCATTCAAAATCCTCCAGGTTCTTACCAAACAGATGAAATGGAAGTTTGAAGGGCTTTACAAAGGTCAAAACGTGTTGAATATTTATTTAAGGATGCCGGCTTCGTTGTTGTGATACACGATTCGTTTTTGAAAGATTTGGACGACTCGTAAACGTGGAAATTTTATCAATATTTTGTTTTATCGACAACTTGATATGTATTGTAAGGGTTTCGTTCTAACCATTTAAGAGTCTCTCAGTGTCCCTTCACGAGCTTAAAATATCATGCCAGGGGACCGTGAAGCACTCTGGACTCTAGAGACTGTCGCAGAAGCGGGGATGGGGGTGTCCTTGACACCGCAGATGTTTAAAGTTTGTTTATAAAGTTTTAAAGGAAGATACCTTTCACATAACATGACACACTTCTTTTCTTTCAAACTAATGTTGTCATTTTGTCATAGGTCATGGTGTTGCATTTAAAAAACATAGCATTAACACACTAGGTATATGCGTAATACATGAAAGTGTTCTGTAGTAAAAACAGGAAGTCTTAATGCTTACCACTACCATCAGTGCCATTGTCACGTTACAAAACCGGAGAAGGAAGGTCTGGAAGGAGGAAACAGTAAACATCATATAACAAAGGGATTCATCAACTCTTATAACTCGCAAATTTAATCACCTTTGCGGCGTGTACAAATTTTGTGGTTGTAAATTTGTCGCAAATGATATACCTAGGCACTTAGACAAGACCTTATATAGGAAAGTTACCGCATCCCATAACAACAGAAGAAACAGGAAGCTATAGAACTGTCAAATAAAAACACGAATCACATACTATTGCGTACATCTTGTAAGCCATATTCTGAATCAAATTAGTGTTTCTTTATGTAATCCGCTGAATGTATAACAATATCAAATATGACAATACTTAGAAGATAAAAAAATGTAAATACGTACAATTGTTGGAGGGACTTCATAGTATATCGCTTTACTGTCTATGGTGGTGACCTGGTCCGCCATGTTTATACAACGTCATGTGATAAGGGCTCACAAGACATCGCTATTGATGTGAGATAAACGCACATTATCGTATCACATCAGTCTCCCTGAATAGCACGTCAGTTTTATTTATCATCTTCACATGGGCATTAATAAACAGCCTCGGTTATATAGACGGAAGTTCAACATTTCAAAATGGCAGATGACTCGACGTCGTTGGTAAGAAATCAGCAGACAACTGCCACCGAGCAAAATGCTGTTTACCACGACAAATGGCAGGGTCCTCGAGCCGTAAGATCTTTATCATTTATTGTCAATTTTCAACAACCAGTCCATGATATAACCCCAGTTATGTTATGATTGATATCTCAGTCGGAATGTCATACTTGAAACGCACCGGATCAAATTAAATATTGGTCATAATGATAATGAAAGTTTTGCTGCTGAAAAGGATATGGTGATAGATCTAAGTACATGTATATGTTTCTTTGAAAGGGAAAGAAAACCAGGAAAATTTGTTGGCGGTAAATGAAAATGGCAATTAAGTGAGGGCACTATATCGAACATTTAACTCCGTCTTATTACATGTGTATACGATATGCAACTAAAATCTATTAGTTGTATTTGTATTTACAAACGAGAAAACAGTACTAATTGCTATCTCATGGACATGACCAAATCATATCTATGAAGATTAAATATTACATTCAGTTATGATAACAAACAATTTGGTTCCATGCAATGTATGTACATTGTATTTAATTTCTGTCTTCAGCGGTGCCTACAGATCATATTCGTCGTCCTGATTATCATAATGGTTCTGGTAAGTATACAAGGATACAATGTATGTGAAATAAACAACAGCGGAAATAACATGCTGACCACTTTCTAGTTGATATTGTACAGGACTTAAGGCATAAATGACCATTATGTAAATGATTGATATGTGAAATGATATTTGCCCGAGATAAGTGAAGAGTACCAATGTACCTAGTGAACGCAAAGACGTGTTGTCCTTAAGAGTTAGAGGATGAAAAAATAAAAACATGTTTTCTAGAGTAAATTTTCTTATCAGGACATGCATTTCTCATTTACTTTTGATACTGTTAATATGGTTATTCTGGACAGCGGTAAAGAGCTGATCTGGGTATATTCCGGCAGTAAACCTGTTATTCATTTTTTCTTATTATTTCATTAATCAGAAATTTACTACAATTGTTATGCTATCCTTAAGTTAGATGTATCATTACATTGATGGATACTGAATGTCTCTAATACTAATACAGACAGATTATAACCATGAATATTTCAACAGCATTATACTGTGAATCTATTTTTTACGATCAATATGAAACGAATGTAAAACAGTTTCTGTGTCACCATTAAAAGATCATGGATTGTAAAATGAGAATAACAGGAAAGACCTCTAACGTATGCTGTTTTTACATTGTCATTTATTTCATGAAATAAATACATTTGTGTTAGATGGTTACTTTATATATTCATGTATATATATATATGTATAATTGCATAATCCTACAGATGTTCTTCATATTATAATGTTATGTAAGTTGGCTCTTGCATGATTTTGTTATTTGGAATAAGATCTTGAACTCTGACCACCTGGTGACCATCTGTTACCCTATGTAGTTTGTATCTCTTGTTATTTGGATGTTATGTGTGCGCACGTGTTAGTTAAGAGGGCCGTGTAGGGCAACTCGCTATGCGGTCTCGGTTTTAGCTTGACCAGTCAGAGGGGCTGTTCACGTGACCAGCGGCAGTAGCCGTGATGCTAGGCGGTCAGGGCCTGGATTGACCAATCAGCGAGGCGCGCACCTCTTCGTGATTTTGACCGCGTCATGTCTTCATCACTCCTCATAATTTTTCTGCTGCTGTGATTACGTTTAATATCTTTCGAAGTCCCACACATACCACACTCCCACATTTTGTCTTGAGCCAGCTTATATATCCATGTTTTTTTTTTTTGTTTTTTGTTTTTTTTTAATTCAAACTTATGTTTGTATGCCGATAATTTGTACCCCATCTTTTTGTTGTACATATAGACTGAAGTTAATGTCATTCAGATCTATATATTATATAACAACAGTGATTGATATTATGGTTGTATTACATTGTCATTAATATACAGTGTAAATCGTGTTTTACAAACTAGGTGGTAAGGTGTTAATGGAAACATTGTTCTACAGGTGTGTGTTATACTTGCCATATATCGGGGAGTCGTTGTAGGAGAAAATGGCGCCTTGTACTTCATGCTGGGTGTCTGTCTCGTCGGATATGTGATTCTGGAAGTGATTCTGGTAATATTACGAGAAACGTTACTTTAAAAATGTAGTGCAAGTAAAATTGCAGATCGAACTTACTGTATGTGACAGAATTCGTGATATAAACATCCATTCTCTAATTATCTGTTCTTAAGTAAAAATACAAATATAACAAAAAGTAACACGTGGTTCCTTTAACACGACAATGGTTATTAAACAGTCGTATTTGGCATTGCTTAACACCTCCACTGAAATCTGAAATGAAAGAAACATCCTAAAAAGTATAAATATTGATCAAATCCGTTAGTCCGTTCACAATAGATAACCGCTTGCAATACCATCTACAATAGAATGTCTACTCATTTAATCCAAAGTGACCGAAGCGGCCACTCTTCTTAAAAGCATAACTTGTGATATTGTTCTTCGTGATTTTTCAGATAATATTTATCCGGCAAGGCGAACTGCCACAGGAGAAGACATGGTTCCTGTATTTCCTCGGTATGTGTGTCTTTTTGGAAGCCATCTTTACAGATATTCTGCTGTACAACTGAAAACAAGACATGATGTTTGACATCTGTTGTCTGTAGGACAAGCGACACCTTTGGATGTAAACCTGCTTTAATTGTTTATTGTTATTGTTGTATTGATCTGGCTGGTGGCGTTTACATGTTTATATGGCTTTGCTTGTTGTGCAATGCAAACTTTTAATAAAATACTCTTGGTCGGAAGACGATGTTGTACGATGAACTTTAAGCACAGTGCGTTTATCACGCCATTTAAATTTCTTAATCTGGAGAACAGAATCAAAAAGTGCCTGAAACAATTAGCATGTCATAGGTGACATTTGTACAGAAAATCAAATACAAAAACATGTTAGGAGATAGAAATATCAGTTATAGCTCCTGATCGTAAGGGAATTTTCCCCCTCCAAACGTTTATTTATCAATGTTTTAAGATACAGTGTTGTTTGGGTGGTGTCTAAGACCCTACCTTGTCAACATTCTCCTCCATTCAGCGTGATGAAAAGATACCAGAACTTCTATGTAATACCTACCTGTCATCCTGCAGTAAAACCTTGTCACTTTATACTCCCTCCTTACAATGCCTTTATGATGATCATTTACAATATACTGTCGACAAATGCCTTAGCTTCATTGCTCTCTAGCCTACTGTCAACGAATTTAAATGTTTCGTTGTCTCTCTTTTTGTCAATATGTTATCTGATGTATATCGTTTGACAGCCCACAGGACAAATATTTTCTCAGTCTTCCCCATGAAGTCTGGTCTACCAGATTAACTTCCCTTCGTTTCTTACGACGAGAAACACGACAGTCGAGTTGTTGAATGCTATCATGTACACTCATAATGGATTTAAGTAACACGCTGTAAACTTAAATACAAATATATATATATGTATGTTCATAAAAAAACTCTAAATAGTGTTGTCTGCTCGTAAAGAAATAGCTTTCAAATTATTAATTTTTCTGGTAAAATATGATTGACCATATGAGGTATTTCGTTGTTTGCTGTTCACTTAAAATGGTATCTACCACACATTTATGTTAAAAACAAATGTTTCAACTCCCCAAAACGACCAAAAGAACTTCAACGTATATCAGTATGGCAGAGCTCTGCTTAAATATAGATGAGTACAAATGGTAGTGAGATAATGAGATACCCGTATATTGAATGTTCACACGTCAGTAATGCTGGTTATTTAAGGACCAGAATAGGTATAATGCATATTTATATGTCGAAATGTGATATTTATGTAGCATTGAAAGAATTAAGTCTATTTTACGAGCAATGCATGCATTATTTATTCTAAGCAATGTACGTCCCACTGAGATTCGCATTAAAATTACAAATAAAAACAGACAATATATTTAGCACACGGACGTAAAACCGCAGCAGACGCATCACAACGTAGGTATATATTCACGGAAAATGGTCGATATATCGTCTTCAGCCAGGGCCTACCTATCGACCAAAAGGTTGCTGCATCACCAAATAACAAACAGGAAGTCTACCGCAAACTATTCATTGAGGTTTTTGTCTATCCAGCACAGGACGATCCGAGCTGTCAATTGAGCCTCATATTCATCGAAGATTGTACAAAAGACACACAAGTGAACAGTATCTTTAAATACAAATTAAGAGTTAGATACAGTTTAGCGAAACAGCATCATACAGCTGTTTTGCCCTTCTAGGTCTCGTCAGTGACACTATGGGACTAAATTTTGAAGTCAAGGAAGCGGCTGAGGAAATCCAAAGTACATGTACTTTAGTAATCGATAGAAATCTCGATAGAATTGTGTCACTATTGTAATGAATTGAAATGAGTAACGCATTTTACTTCAAAACGAAACTAAAATTGTTCTATTAACATGAAAATAGATTCTAGCTGTCACTTACGACAACACAACATAAGAAAATCGCCAAGACAAAAATGGAAGTATTTTGTAGGGAGTATAGTAACAGTTAGAGGTGCGATTATGGCAATTTAAATTTTGGTTTGATTTTTTTCCCCTCAAGCTTATGGTTGTACTTTTCGGGAAATTATATAGCGTATTTTCTAAAGATGCGTCACTTAAAATTCTTTTCTGTTTTCGTCTGTCTTAACAGTTTAGAGAAAAAAATACGAATCTAATAAACATTCAACCCATAAGATATTACAGATAATGTATCAGTCAGTATTAAGACTCTAGTACTGCTCTTTAATGAATTAATTTACCTAAGACTCGGTACTGCTTTTCGGTGTCGCTTTTACATACAGACCAGATACCAGCATCAGGTTATAGCTTATAGCTTACAAGGTGAATTTAGATATCACTTGTCCATCGAATGTCATTGGTAGTGTGATATGCAATACTGTTAAATTACACTGAACACATGTAGATATAGGTATACCTATTATGAAATCTATGAGGTTGTGTCATGAAATTGATAAGTCGTGGTATAAAATCGATATTTGACGTGAAGGCTTACTTACAGGTAACTTTTGCAAGTTTACAGATAAAATTCTTCCCTCACGTAGGTTTTTTCCCCGCTGGCTTTCTTAATCCACGAATTCAGATGTCAACGAAATGAGTCAAATTTTTCAAAATGACATAACTCTTAATACTAGTAGATTTTTGAGTAAGATTTATGAATGAAATCGACCTCCGAGCATGTATTTTCTCAGTATTAAACCACGAAATTTGAGCGCAACAAAAGTAAAGGATTTCACAATTTATACATGTAATATAATGATAAGACAATGTTAAATCTCCATAGAATAAATAACGAAAATGTTAAGTTTATACCCAATATCTCAGAAATTCTTTATTGGTAGAGCAATATATACTTTCATTTCAATATTTCTTAACTTAGTTCAAACTAATAGTTGTCGTGTGATACGTATATCGTTAAAAGTTAAATATAGAATAATCACAGTAGTAGACGGCAAGCGAACAATATTTAATCAGGAAGTAAAACAGTCTATGTATTACATAACAAAGTACACAGCCGCTATATCCAATTGTGTTTAAATCGAATGCCAGTTAAGGCTAACAATTTGGGGTGTTACAAGGTGAAATAGTTGGAACTATAACGAATAGATGAGTTAATGTTGTTGTCTGTGATCGATGTGGAAAATACTCTGAATGCAAGAAACTGGACAATATTTTGCCGAATGAAGCGATGGGAATAAAAAGTATAGGGATGAGAGGGAAGATACAGACTCCAAGTTCAGTCGTTTCTTACATATCATGCAATAGGACAACAGATAGAATTTTCATAACCAATCCACAGAGTAGTCCAGAATACCTGGGTTATCCTCTAACGGTCGTCATAGTGATCTAATTGAAAAAAAAATGTTGCAATACGAAGCATAACGTGTTTGATGCCCATTATGTTTTTTGGTTCCGTCGTTGTTTATCTTGTTCTGGTTCGAGAACGTGACATTTCTTAGTTTGATTGACCAAAATTTGCATGGCTTCTGTCGTCGATAAAGCAGAAGACGCTAACTTTTCCGGAATACCTTATCTTATTCTCTTGGTACTTTTTAATCTTCCTTTTGTTTAAATTTTGTCCCATTTTTATTGAATTTCAGTTTGGCTTATGATTATGCTGACATGTTGGTGTTTACTTAATTCCTTTGTTATGATTTTACGTTTCATCGTTTGTTTACAATGTTGTATTTCTTTGATATAGTCATCGTGATCTTTTTCATTCCTTAAGTTTAAATTCAGATCAAACACCAGACAAGGCAATTTTAGATATAAAGATCGGGATGATCGATATATTCCAACTTTTTTCATACACTTTTAACATGCCACGTAATTATAAATAGCTCTTCCTTGATTTCATTTATCTAATTGGAATCATGTAACTCATACGTATTAATTCAAGAGCAACTCTTGGTATTTAATTAAAAGTTAAAAACTGAGGCAAGAAGAGCATAGACAAGTTTCTCTTTTATACTTGAACCGTCTACTCTGACTGGTACCATTCGGAAAGCATTACAATTATATAAAGTTGAAAGCGATCGAAACATCAATTGGCTCCCTTGTCAATACATTGAAATATTTCAATAACTCGTAAATCAAACTATTATAATACTACAATTCAGTGATGTATCGAATTTCTGTAAGTGAAAGACTGGTACAAATATACCGACATATACCTAATTATCAGTAGTTACTCTATTAAACATTAACTGTGTCTGTAATTGTACGGTCAGAGAACTATACTAGCTCTTAACAGTTTAAATGTTTTATAAGCCCCATAGAAAATTCCCTTGTGTGGCTATGGTTGTGTTTGTCTGTTTTATCTACAGTCCTATACATGTGTGTTCAGCGTAGCTTTAAATGTGTACACTTGTTTTATATACCAGTTTTTGTAATTACTCGATACACATTTTAAAAGGCAGTCACCCTGAAGACAGTGTGTATCAATCTGACCGTCATTGTTAATGGGTACGTTTTGGCATTGCATGTATAAAGATTTGGCAACAAATCTCACCATTAACCTTACCAACATGTAATTGTCGTGATCAGGCAACAGGATTGATCGGAGAGTGTAAATATTTTTGGAGGAAAAATTGATTTATTGGGGAAAAAGACATCTCAACGGTGTGATTGGGATTTTGATATTAATTAACAATCGTACTGAGGAGTAGTGGAATCGCTGCTATGTAATCTACATTTGTTTACCGTCTTCAAAATGGCGCATTGACTATGTCATGAATGCGGTATGTTTATGTAACTTCGGATAAATTCAAGGACATGTGATTTCCTTATGAAGGACTACTTGATTGTTTTCATTTTGAAGAAAATTGACATGGTTTCTTGACAACGTTTTATGCATTTTTTCAAAAACGTTTTGATTCATGGATACACATTGAAATGGATTGAGATTCGGCGACAGGGGGCTTGGTTGTTAGACTGACGTCATGAGTGAGGAGCTTGAGAAGGGAGAGTATTCCCCAAGGTTCGGACAAAGTTACATCAATGTGTATCTCCCTCGAGAGGAGGATTCAGGTGTCGTTAGTAAACACGTGCCGCCCCCG